ACTCCTCCAAACTCAACAGCTGCACAAAATGCAGTCCAAGACCCTGGATTTCAGACTGTTTGCGATGGAAAAACCAACTTTAATACGTACGACTATTACCAGAACGTTTATCCAAAATGTTTCATCCGTTGCGTAGAGAGAGCATTACCGCTGATGACCGATGGTCATGGCTATATCATAGCAATATCATCACCTGGCTGTAATGCTAACGCACGCCCAAGCCCAAATTACGTTCCTGGGCCAAGCAAAGCAGTGCTTGAACATTTGGTAAGATATATTAGGATACCAAATTAGAGATATAAAACAGTTTCTATAAAATAATCACTCTTAGACTATTAGGCACTATCACTCAACTGGAACAGTCGTAAAAGCCATTAAGCGGTCATCAATGAGCTCAATTCTCTTATATAAGCCATCACCTGGTCTTTCCCGCTTAAAAGACGTTTGACTGTACCCCCTCTCCTAACTATGACTGTATATAAGAGCTATAGAGTGAAGTTTTTAAGTTCATGAATCAAAGCTTGAATATTATCGTGTTTATTGTCAAATAAACACAAAAGAAAACAATGTATTAAGGGTGTACTGACATATCCGTTGCTAGGGAAATTCAGTAGTTCTCTAAAATGACAAACAAAAGTAAAATCGCTTTCGTATTGAGTATTAAGCCTTCCCAAAMAAAAATAACRCRTTCTATGACGTCATTGCATGACGTCATCGCGTGACGTCATTAATACGAAAAAATGCTATAATTTCATCAAGCAAAGTATGTATATTAAACGATTTAAAATGGATGAAATTAATCTTTAGATCTAAGTCCGTAAAGCCAAGCATGCGTTTTTAGAATAATTGCCAAATAAGCTTTCTACGATTTTTTAAATGCAACAAATAAGCGAAAAATGCCAATAACTTTCGTATTTTTTAATTTTTCGCCAAACCCATGCTTGGTTCTGAAGAGGAGGCTGTGAAGTACATAAATATTGAAAAAACACGTCTATTTGATGTTTCGCACCGAAGATTATATYTTTTAAATGATATGTACCATACATTTTATGTAAACAAAAACCTTTCCACCGGAAGTAAAAATTTTCCCGCCATGAAAACGCGCGCGCGCCCGCTTCTCCGATTGGCTAGCATCGGCTAGCATAGCAACCTAGTCGTCGTCTAGAAACGGATACGTCAGTACACCCTTAAGAGCGTACTAAGGTGTAAAGGCCGATTTAAACTTTTGCCTAGAACTATCGCACGCAACATATGCCTAAGTGATCACTACAACATGACTAAAACTGTCATAGAAAATAAAACAATTGCTTACTACGACAGACATGTTGCGTGCGATTGAGTTGTAGGCAAAAGTTATGCCGTCTAAATCGGACTTAATATCAGTTGTTGACATTACTCTAAGGTGCTTTTACTTCAATTGCTCACTATTTTATACAAGTCATCTATAGTAACCAAAGTTAGTTCAGAGTGAACAAATCTCAAGAGGGCGGTATATATGTATTTACAAGATTATCTCGTGGTTTCTTTTGTTTCTAGTAAGGCTTTTGCAAAAGAGAATCTGTTGTCATATGAAACAGCGGTTATCCGCTTTGAACTTGAAAATGGAGTACAGTATTGAAGTGTCATCCAATGGTAGCCTGCATTGCATTCCGGGATATCGCAGGCTAGTTCAGTGCCAGCGATATATCGATTCATTTGCACTGATTGATTGATTACTTGTTTCATTTGATAAAATGCCTTTTTTTATAGGTTCGTAATTACGCCATCAAGCTTGCTCCTCGAAGAATTACCTGCAACTGCATCATACCCGGACTGTCACGCACAGATGCAGCTAGTACAGCATTTGGTCAAGGTGATGAAAAGAAATTGGAGGAACTTGCAAAGAACTGGTGTCCAATGAAATCCATCATTGATCCTGACGATATTGGTGAGGCTGTGGCATTTCTCTGTTCGTCAAAGGCTTCATTTATCACTGGTGTTGCGTTGGATATTGATGGAGGGCTTCGATTTCGATTGCGGTGAACTAAGTAATAAACCCTTTAGTAAAGACTCCGCGCGCTCATCAACAAGAACTAGCGGAATGTTTCATTTTGTGTGACCAATAGAGTGCGCGAACCCAAACCACCGCTGATTAACCAACAATCTGTTGTATATTTATTTAAATGTGGTCTGTGTGATGCAGACTATGTTGGTTATACTCGCCGCCATTTATATCAAAGAATACAGGAACACCACTCTTCAAGCATCGGAAATCACTATAAATCCTCCCACGGTTTTACAAAGGTACCAGACTTGAGCGCTAACTTTAAAATTCTTAAAAAGTGCTCGAGCAAAACGGACTGTCTCATTTACGAGATGCTGTTCATTAAAAAGATCAAGCCATCACTCAACGTCCAATCAGACTCTATTAAGGCGAAAATCTTTACATAACATTATCCGCATGGGACYTTACTCAATCTTGTTATAACTTTCTGTTTTTGAATATCTCAATGTAATTTTCTCTTGAGAATGACGCCGGATAGCGTCGAAACGTCGAGCACAACATTAAAATGTTAACCAACACAAACTTACTTGCGTTAGTTTTTACTTTACAAGTCACAACAAAAGCCACACTTATCAATATTCTACTGTTGTTATAGTTATAAATTAAAGAACGTAATCATAGCGAAACATTGTTGTACTCCACTTGGTCAAAAGATTAAAGCATCACCTTGTCTATATGATGCTGATATGGTCTTGCTTGCATCAACATACAGTATATCATTTGGTCGCCAGGATTCTTCTCTATGTCGTTGTATAATTTGGATTTACAATATTTCCTCTCATTTCATTGGGTCTTATAAAGAGACATCGGGAAAGAAATCAAGGATATATATCGAC